CTTCATCACCAACCACACAGTGCAATCCCAGGAAAAGCTATCTACTCTCTGACTGATATGTCTTTAACAAATCCAGGTATTGTCCCTACTCCACACCAAGGATTGTCTACTTAATGTAGATAAACAGAAGCTGTGATGAAAGACCAAGAAATGAAGGATGGTAAGTTTTATGTACTCTTGTCGGCTGAGCAGTTCTAACCATATCTTAGGAACGGCCGAGGCTCTACCCCCTCTTCAACCAAGTGGTGAGTTCCAGTCGGTGACAGAAAACTAGCCAAACCTAAATTCTGGGTGGCCGATAGGACAGAGCCAAGAATCCGAACTAGTGATGGAAGTGGACGTCCCATCCTCGGCTCCTCATAGATCCATTTTCGATTTCAAAGAACCTACCCCTGCTCTAAGTTCCAACCCATTCACCCCAGCCTCGGCTCACCAATCCATTTTCGAGTTTAAGAAAGTCGGTACTTCAGCGTTTGCCCCGACCTCGGCTCATCAAGCATCAATGTTCGATTTTCAGCACGTGGGCACTTCAACGAATGTGCCGCCTGTTTCCCCGTCCTCGGCTCATCAGCGATCGATTTTCGATTTCCAGAAGCCTGGCAGATCTCCACCAGCCTCGGCTCGTCAGGCATCGATTTTTGATTTTCAGCAAGTGGGCACTTCAACGAATGTGCCGCCTGTTCCCCCGTCCTCGGCTCGTCAGCCATCCATTTTCGATTTCCAAAAGCCTGACATCCCTGCACCAGCCTCGGCTCGTCAGGCGTCGATTTTTGATTTTCAGCAAGTGGACACTTCAACGAATGTGCCGCCTGTTCCCCCGTCCTCGGCTCGTCAGCCATCCATTTTCGATTTCCAAAAGCCTAACAACCCTGCACCAGCCTCGGCTAATAAAGGATCCCCTTTCGATTTTCAAGTCCATCGTTCATTTACCCTGGCCTCGGCTGTTCAGCCTTCCATTGATTTTCAAACACCTGGCACGTCTGCTCCAGCTCCTGCCTCTGACAAACCAGGCATGTCTTCCCCTGGCGCCTCAAGGTCCAATAGTACTCTGGGATCACGGAAGTATCTGACGAAATCACAAGAGGCCAAATTACGACTCCAGGGCCAAGGAGGAGCTGCCATTCTGCCAACTTGGCCAGGCGATGCCTTCGTTTTCGGCCCGGCTCCTGTCTTCGTCTACACTCAAGAGAGGACAACACCACGCCCACCACCTTCGACCGAATTGTTGGACTTGGATCCAAACTCCCCACGTGCAAGGGGTTTATGTCGCAAGTACAATATCAAGGTTGTGTCTGATGACAGCATTGGTGATCGCACGGGCGTGGTAGCCGAGGTCGTTCAGGCAATTGGCAAAGTGTGGGAAAGAGCTATGGACCCCGAGGCTTCATCCGACCCTTCGATTAGGAATTTGCAGGCCGCCTTTGATAAATTGTTGACGAGGGGAGATGAGTTTACCGAGATGGATCGTATGGACCTGGTTCGTCATAGCGAAATTCACCAGGAGGCGCTCAGATCCCTGCCTGACAGCATAGCGACAACGAGCCATTATCGGTATGTTTTGGCCACCTTGAGGAGGGAGAAAGACCGGTTGCGTGAACAAATCGATTCAGACCGTGATCTGGTTGCAGCAATGGACGCTACTTTAGAAGGACTACGGCCATTCATCCCAGACGAGATCCCAG